CCTATCCTATCCTGTCCTGTACAACGGAGGCCGCTACACACACTAGTTAAACAACGTAACATCTGTAGAAACTTACACAGCTACCTTTCACGTCATGCGCGCACACTCACTCACTGCACCACCTGGTGGCGCGCGCATCTCTCTTTGCCACTTATGAACGTCTGTGCATGCACACGCGTGTATAATGTACACGAAAAAGAAATAAGATTTTGTTTAAATTGGTTAAAATTTTGACTTATCATTGAATAAAAGGTTGCAATTATTTAAAACCGAAAAAATTAACAAGTTACTTGAAGAATATGAACTTTCACAGAACCAGTTATATAGTTTGTAACACTTTTAAAATTATTAATAAAAATAAAATGAAGTGTTCATATTAAAGAACGAAGAAATTAAATTGTAAATGTTAGCTTCTTATCTTAAATTTTTGAAATTAAACTGTTAATTTAATTAATTTTTCTTTTAACAGGCAAAATATCGTAATTTTTCAAAGCTCTTTGTACAATTAAAATATTAATAACAATTCCATCAAATTGAAATGTTACAAGCAATTTCTTTTTAAAACATGTGGAAAATTTTTTTACAATTACTACAAAGTACATTATTTCATTATGTCAGCATAATTATTAAAATAAAATTTTCACGAGTCAGTTAATATGAAAAATAAATTGATTTGTACATCTGTCAGGTAGTAACAATTTGAAACTATGATAATGTTCACTTTTAATTATCAGAATTACTAGCTGCACTGAAGATCAATGTAAGGAAGCCTCGCATTTAAATTCAATTAAAAGAACAAAATTTCCGACTCTACTTCGGTCGCGATTATACAACTAAAGTATGAAGCATATCGACCTTTAAAAAAAAAATTGAGAGGTCCTACTAAATTTCAATCATTTAATAATTACATTCAAGTAGTTTGATATCATTGATATTTATATATAGGAGTTATATATCGTATATTACGTATTTTATAAAAGAAAATGTATTTTTTTCCACAATTAATGATTATGTTTACACAACTATGTGCACACATATATATTTCGGTATATGGTTCTTTGTAAATTGCCGACGGAATAAAATCGGTTTATTTATTTATTAAAAAAGTGATCAGATAATCATATAAGTATGAATATCTTCTTCTTTCATATCATTATACAGTCAAAAATCAATTGAAATTCGATTATTAATATTGTGAAATAAGATTACGAAGTAATTAAGAATATAAGAATATAAAAAAATAAAATAATTCTTAATAAAAAGAAAAAA